AGTTCCTTGTTATGTCGTTTGGGTTAACAAACGCCCCGGCGGCATTCATGGACTTGATGAACCGAGTATTCCATAAATACTTGGATCGATTCGTGATTGTGTTCATAGATGACATTTTGATTTACTCAAAGAGTGAGGAAGAGCATGAAGAACACTTGATACTCGTTCTTGAGACACTACGGGAGAAGCAACTTTATGCCAAATTCTCTAAATGTGAATTTTGGCTAAAGGAAACTGGCTTCCTCGGGCACGTGGTTTCAGGATCGGGAATTGCTGTTTATAATAAGAAGATAGAAGCCATTACCGAATGGGAGAGACCAAAGAACGTCAAGGAAATTCGTAGTTTCCTTGGACTGGCAGGCTACTATAGAAAGTTCGTGGAGAAGTTCTCTGTTTTGGCATCACCATTGACGAAGCTCACTCGTAAAGGAGCTAAGTTTGTATGGGATGACAAATGTGAGGAGGGGTTCATGGAACTAAAGAAGCGATTGACCGAGGCACCGGTACTTGCATTACCCAAACAGAGTGTGGGGTACGATGTCTATAGCGATGCGAGCATCCAAGGGCTTGGATGCGTGCTGATGCAGAATGGGAGGGTAATCGCCTATGCTTCACGACAGTTGAAGAAGCATGAGGTGAATTATCCTACTCACGACTTGGAGCTGGGGGCTGTGGTGTTTGCACTGAAGATATGGAGACATTATCTCTACGGGGAGACATGTCACATATACACCGATCACAAGAGCTTGAAATACGTGTTTACTCAAAAAGAGCTAAACATGAGACAGAGACGGTGGATGGAGTTGATAAAAGACTACCATCTAGTGATAGAGTATCACCCAGGCAAGGCAAACGTGGTGGCAGATGCTTTGAGCCGGAAGAGCTCGTCTGGGGCATTGCTAGCTAATTTGAGGGCATTAAGAGCCCAACTGGAGGTATCCAGCGATGGTGCCTTATTGGCACGATTTGAGGTGAGACCTACTTTACTTGATGAGATCAAGAAGGGTCAAGAGGCTGACGCAGAACTTATGAAGGTCCGGGAACGCATGCAAGCGGGACCGGTGGAGGATTTCAGGGCAAGAGATGATGGTCTCTTGTTATTTCGTGACCGAGTGTGTGTGCCGTCAGATGATGAGCTCCGAAAGTCCATCTTAGAGGAGGCTCATTCATCGGCTTATGCCATGCACCCGGGGGGCACGAAAATGTACCGTGATTTGAAAGAAAGTTACTGGTGGTCTGGAATGAAGAGGGAAATAGCCGAGTACATCAGTCGATGCCTTACTTGTCAACAAGTTAAGGCAGAACATCAGCATCCAGCAGGCTTGTTACAACCACTTTCCATTCCTGAGTGGAAGTGGGAACATGTGACTATGGATTTCGTGGTAGGTTTACCACGGACAATTCGGAACTACGATGCGGTTTGGGTTGTTGTGGATAGGCTCACAAAGAGTGCACACTTCTTGCCTATCAACACTACCTACCCACTTGAGAGGTTAGCCAAATTGTATACGGATGAGATCGTGAGGCTGCATGGGGTCCCAGTGACCATTGTATCCGATAGAGACCCACGATTCACATCACGTTTTTGGCCGAAATTTCAGGAGTCTATGGGAACGAGGTTGAAGTTCAGTACTGCTTTCCACCCACAGACGGATGGGCAGTCTGAAAGAGTCATACAGATCTTAGAAGACATGCTGAGGGCTTGTGCGTTGGAGTTCCAAGGAAGTTGGGACAACCACTTAGCACTAGTGGAATTTGCCTATAACAACAGTTATCAGGCAAACATCGGTATGCCTCCATACGAGGCATTGTATGGGAGGAGGTGCCGTACACCGTTATGCTGGGATGAGGTTGGCATGGCCAAACTCGAGGGTACTGAGTTGGTTGAGGTCACCAAATCAAAGGTGAAATTGATTCGAGAGAGACTCAAAGCGGCCCAGGATAGGCAAAAGAGTTATGCAGATAAGCGTCGAAGAACCTTAGAGTTTAAGGTTGATGACGAGGTATTCTTGAAAGTTTCTCCTTGGAAAGGAATCATTCGATTTCAAACCCGAGGGAAGCTTAACCCACGGTACATAGGTCCATTCAGAATTATAGAGAGGATTGGGGCCGTTGCATATCGTCTACAGTTGACTCCTGAGTTAGAGAAGATACATAATGTGTTTCATGTATCCATGCTTAAGAAGTATGTGCATGACCACTCACACGTATTGGAGAAGCCACCTGTAGAGGTACGTGAGGATTTGAACTACGCTGTTCAACCAATCAAGGTCACCGACAGGAAGGTGAAGAAATTGAGAAGCAAGGAAGTCCCAATGGTTAAAGTACTTTGGAAAAGCGATCGGGTCGAAGAAGAGACATGGGAAACAGAGGCCTTGATGAGGAAACAGTATGCCTTCCTATTCGAGTAGAGCTGTGAATTTCGGGGACGAAATTCCTGTTAAGGGGGGGTGAACTTGTGACACCGCACCCGAACGTCCTTGAGAATTTGATTTTAGAATTCAAAGTTTATGTATTGGATTTCTGATTCCCAAACAATTGTAAAACGATTGTTGTTTTACGTAATTCATGATCGATTATGATACCGCTCGAACTCGTACATTAGTGTTGGGCTGAGGATACTCGTTTGGGCCTTATTAATAAATAAAAGATCCAAACATTATCTAAATAGTTATACATAACGTTTCAAGACAAGTTGAGGAAGGGCGGGCAGTCCATACATTATTTTGAGCTCAACCCGCTAAAATAGCAAACAGTTGAGGACGGCGTCGTAGGCCCACTCGGGGGCGACCCACACGGCTTGTAGCCCAATAATATGAATGACAAATGTCAAAATAAGCGATAGGATGATTAAAGAAGAGTACAAATGCCTATAACCCCATCTTTGGCATTATTGAGCCAAATAATGGGAGTAGGATTTTCCTTCTATATTATCCATCAAGTAAGTTATTGAGATGAGCCTACACATATTGGAGATCAATAATGTTATGTAGGAAGTTGACTTGTTCCAAATAAATTAGGATGAGTCCAAAAAGACATCTTTGACAAAAGATAAAACAATAGGACCCATTCTTCCATTTTTGGATGTATTGATTAATGTTTTGCTCCCAAAAATAATGGGGAAACACATGCTGCGCCCCATCCCTTCTTTTCCACCTGCAAGACAAGAAAAATAAGGTTAGGAGACTGCCATAGCTGACTCTAGGGGCTGGACTTGACAAAGGAAACAAGAGGGAACCCCACCTAGTCAATTTTCGCACATAAGAGTGGTGCTGGTTGTCTCCCTTCATGAGTGATGTTATACTCGGCCAAATGAGGTGTATAAGGTGTCCTTGGATAGATTTTGAAGTCTATTTTTATAATTGAGTGGTCTCAGTTCGAGAGGAGAGAGTAATAATCCAAAAATCGATCTGGAACGAGCAGTGGTCTGTGAACTCGAGCTGTGAGAGTGCTGAGACTGTTTGGTTGATATCTCGAGTTTTACCAATCCAATTAAGGCGTGTGAGATACCAAAAGAAAACTCTCAAGACGAGGAATCCGTGAAGGTCTGGTTTGCATCAATAGGAGTAGAGGAAGGCTTCCAAATCGTCCGAGCAGAACGCGACCTCGCAGGGACGGATTTACACTTCTAAGTGAGTTTTTAATCCCAAAACCTTTCCATTCATTTTTCAAATGATATGAACGATTGGTGGGACTATTATACACTACTCCAAGTATATAAAACATCCCTATTAAGTTATTTTATTGATGTAAAGGTTAGATACTAACCTAGATGCAAATATTGGAAAACTAGGAATCGAGTTAGCCGGAAAACACCCGTTCTAGGGGCTGTTTTCGTATCAACGATTAGGGGTTGAAATAGCAACTTGAGGAGGCTGTTTAGCACCCATTTCTAAGCAAGGAATCAGTTCTCAAGCTTCCTTGGCCGAGGCTTTAGCCATTGGATCGAGAAGGAAGGTTTTAAAGCTCATTTGAGGTGAGGATCGACATCTAGTTGCTTACAACTTGTAGGTTAAGCATGAGATTACCTAAATGCCTAAATAATGTTTTCCATGGATTATGATGATAAATTATTGATGAAATATTGATCTACTTTCCAAAGAATGAAATGAGAAATGATTTGGTAAAGGATTGATAAAAATGGAGTTAAATGAACTATTGGGTGAAATAGTCATTTCATCCATGTGTGAATTGTATGAATACACAAATGATTATTTATGTATTGCATTGAATGATTAAGTTGCTGCTACATATCTCTAAATATGTAGGATTATACAAATGGAGTATATGATGGATAAGAATAATCTTAATAGTATTGAAATACTAGTTAATGATTGTTGTAATTGTTAAGGGGATTAAATCTAAGGATTTGATTATAATTGATGTACTTGATTGTGATGCAAGTGACAAATTTGATGTAATGTGATGCTAAGACCATGGTTGGGCAGTCCGTAGGGATGTCCCAAAATAGATTATTGATATTACAATTCTAGGCATAGTGAGTGCTTAGGAATTGGGGTCTATGCCAATGTAAGGAGATGTACTTGAGCCCGTGCTCATAGAATTGCATTGGGTAGACATGATGTGGTGATTGATGTGCATGGTGATGTAGTTGAGTTGGACTCAAGAAATGCACGGTGGAGTAGTTAACTTGTGTTAAATAAGGTGCATGGTGATGTAGTCGAGTTGGACTCGAGAATGCAAATATATGTGCTAGGGTTGAACCCTATATATTGTTGTGACTAGGGGTCACGGGGTTTGGGCTATGTTTGATAAACAAACCTTGGGCCTACGGGCCGACTACTTGACTTTATATATAAAGTAAGTATATTTTAAAAACGGGGTAACTTGGGGTTACGGCCTAGATTATATTATCACCCTATTTGAGGGTCTTGTGTTTGAAATACTTGTTGTATATCTATTAGATGCCATCCACACCAGCACTTTATAGCCCTATAGAGTGCTGACCCCTTCGGGGGCGTCCCACCACCATTTTTCAGGTTGAGGCTAGAGCTTGCTTCCTGTGCTCGTTGCTCGAGAGATCATCTAGGAGGGAAGACTTGGTTCGTGCTTCCTCCATTCGTTTTTTTAAACATTAACAAACATGCTCATGAATATTTTACTATAGAGCCTGCGTGCTCATGTTAGCCACGTGTGGCATTTGTTTTCAAACTATGTTTTCCGCTACGTATTCGATTGCTTATTATGTTGTTTATGGATGGCTTGCGTGTGAGTGATATTCTAGACGCCTTGTATAATATGAACGTGTTGGACTGCGGTTGACTATTCATATTGTACGGCGGGTTGTTGACGTGTCCGGGGAGGTCCGGGGCGTGACATCGTTCGCCTTCACCACAACCTAAGCACCATTCTTCGTTAATAAAACGGAAACGGGAAGCGAACCCCAGCGGCGAAAAGCCCTAGGGAAGAAAACGAGACCCCAACGGCGGTAAGCCCTAGGGAAGAAACAAACCGCACTCCTACCAGCCCCCAACGGTGGTCGAGACCACCTAGGCAAAACCGCACTCCCTTGAAATTTTTTTGAAGATTTTTCGTTTACTATAAAAAAAATATCAAAAAAGATAAACATATTTGAAAATTTGTTAGATATTTTAGAGTAAGCCAAATTTGGAGTCTTTGATGGATAAGAATTCTAATCTTGGCAAACAAAATCCAAAACCGATTGGTTTTAGAATCTGCTATTTAGCCTCTTTGACGGATAAGAATTCTAATCTTGGCAAACAAAATTCAAAACCGATTGGTTTTAGAATCTGCTATTTAGCCCATCCAGAGTTCACATTTTACAGGAACGTGGCACATTCCCCTTCCATTTTGCTCTCCTCTCACTTCTTTTAATATATTTTCAAGATATTCGTCTTCTTCCGTAAGAAATGTGATTGTTTGAAAGTGTTTGACATTGTTTAGACATTTTTAACATTGTTTTGTTTTGTTTTGATCCTTTATTTTTATTTTCTTTTTACAGTGTTTGATAGAATGACAATTATTCACCCATTCATGCATTTGTTCATGTCACGTCAAATGGTTTTCTAAGATTTTGATTTCAATATACGGAATATTTAAAACAGTCGATTACTCCGTATATAAAATTATAAGATAGATATTTTGATTAGAATGGTTTCAATTTTAGGTCAAACTAATACAAGTTTGAACAGAACAGAACAAGAAATGAGATCACAGTTACATAATAATAAAACACATATCAACCATGCTTGCTCAGATTAGAAAGTTTAATTTAAAAATATCTTCATTTCTAGCTTGAATTAGATAATAAATCAACTAATTGGATTTTAAATAAGTTGATAAAGTTATGTTTTCAAACTTAAAATAAAAGAGAAGGCGGTTGTGCTCTAGCCCCTCTCTTCTCCCGTTGTTTGGACGCAGCTCAAAGATCACGAACAGCACATCAGGTAGTGGATTCCATGTCTTGTTCTAGGTGACATCAACTCTCCGAGACTCTTTGAATGGGTATGACCCAACTGGCCGGACTGTTCTTCTTTTCTGTTTGTGTTTGTTCTGTGCTATGACGATTCTTTTCTAGGCACTGACGTTCTGGGTTGTTTTGCCTCCCTCAGTGTGGGAAGTTGTTTTGGTGTCCCGGCTAGCTTCGTCTGATCAGGGATTCCTATCTACCCTCTTTTGGATTGTGTGGAAAATTGTATAGCTCGTCCTCCACGAGACCACAAGCACCTCCGTGCCAGGAAGAGTTTTGTGAAAAGACTTTATTTTAGTTTTATTTTTCTTTGGTAGTACTTATTTTTATTTTACTTCGAGTAGATTTGGTTGGATATTTGAATTTTTGGAGTACTTTTGATAGACATTGCTTTAGCTCCGATTGTTTTATGCTTAAATTTGCCCATTTTGTGTCTAACGAATCATGTTGCTTTGTATGAGATGTATGATTCTATGTCTATTTTAAATCTTACGACTGACTTTAACTGTCTGAGTTTGTCTTGTATGATTTCTCGATATTAAAATAAAAGACCACTCATTTACATTAAAAAACTTAAAATAAAATTCACTCTCGATAATGATATTGCTCAATTAGGAAACATTCTAATATAAACAGTTGTATTAGAAAGGGTTTACGGTCTAGAGGCAATTCTCCATTATAGAATTTGTTCTAATAAAGATGTATTTTTTTTTTTGTTGTAATCACGAACTTGATGATTTTCCTCAAAAGAAAAAAAATTACGAACTTGATGATGTTAGTTTTTGACTGTTTATGTTTTACTTTTAATTTATTTTCATTATTTGTAATAGACTTAAAGACTTACTATTTTTTGACTTGAAAATATAATAGAATAAAACAAAATGACTCACTAAACTGTCTGCGCTTATTTGTTATGAAGCAGCAGTCAATTTAAGCACTTTTTTACGCGATTTTCACCATGAACCATCCGGAAACGGCCTCTATGTACTTTAGTATAGAGGTAAAATTGTGTACATCCGATCCCCCTTACCCCACCTTAGGTGGGGGCCTTTGCGGCAGTGAGGTAATGATGATGATGTTATACTTTTAGTTAGTTTAATTTTAATAGTATATTGTTGAAGCAATTGCACATTTACTGTGCAATCATTTATTGTCTTAGTTAGTTGTAATTTGTTTAGATTAGAATGTATTGAGTAAATATCAGTCATAGATTAACCAAAAGATCATGAATGAATCTCGAAGGATCAAGGAAGGTGTAAAAGGACAAGACAAATGAAAAAATTCTGATTTGTTCATATACCCGGTTAGGTATATGCATTACTCGATCGAGTATTGACCTGACTCGAATATCAAATCCTATCCGAAGAACAATTGAACGTGTAAGAAAATTTTTGTACCAAATTTGCTCGTCACTTTTCGGGTATGACGCAAAAAGTGACCTTCTGTGATACTGCCATGGATACCTGATCGAGTATCCGACCCAACCTCACTATTTCTCCTATAAAAGCACCACTTTCCTTCCCACTTCATAATTATATTCATTCTTCCATATCATAAAGCTCTGTTTAGATTAGTATTTTCCTTTATATTGTAGCATGTTCAGATTCCAAATGAGGAGCTAAACTTCTTTATCTTGGGTTTGCTATCTTGAAGCTTATTGAATGCTAAAGTGGTGAATTATTTTATTAAATGTCTCTTCTTGAGTATTATTTTTTCCATACTCATATCTCTATATTAATGTTGGAGTGTTACTAAGTGATGATTACTTAATGCTTTAACATCAATTAATACTAAAAACAATCAATGATTATTGATTTATTTCACATGCACTAACTTTAGATTAGTAATACATGCTTCTCTTGATTAATAATTCAAAGATGAATTAATTAAACTAATTACACCGATAAATTACACATGTTGATGGGTGTCGATCTTACTTGATTTCATCAAGACTTTATGAGATCAACTAAATGTTACTATCAAGTTGGTATATAGTCTATTCTACACTTGACTAATAGTAAGAGTTATATATTAATGAATGCCTCGTTATTAATTGTTATCCTTTATAAATTGGAAATAATTCACGATTGAGTATCCCAGAACGGATAGTTAAAGAAATAACTGAGATCAATAAACATTTCAACAACTGGAAAGTAGCAAATCAAATCTTTATCGTATTGATCATATAATTCATTCATTTTAGTGTTTTAATATTCTTAAGTTATACGATAGTATAAACTTAAAATGCGGACTATACAAGAAGAATATAATTATCCCTCTCTATGGATACGAGCTCTACTACACCATAATACGACATCACCATTAATACTGAAATTTATTTTGCGCCACAAACAACTTTAATGCCATATAAAAGTATGTAAAACTAATATACAAACATGACTTGGAGTAAGAGTTAGATAAACCTAAGCAGAAAATCGTTATAGAATGAAACAGAAAATACAAATAGTTACTTGCGAGATGAAACTAAGGTCACTGTTTTCTAGAATTTTGAGCACTTTTGAGCTTATGAAGAAGCTCTAGTTAGACTTTACTTTTGTTCATCGTAAATTGCAAATTATAAATTCCGAATTTCTAGTGATATTAAAATCCCAAGTTTACTTGCAAACAAATCAAGCCTAGTCTTTTTTTAGTAACTAAATCAGGTATAGTTTTAACTGGACCTATTTGAAAGAGTCTAGCTTAATTGCTCAATTCTAGTTTCATACATTCCGTAGTAATTTAAGTCTTGTCTGATAAAGTAAAATATTATGCCGACTTCACTATCAGATTTTTTATGATGTGTTTGACTTTGTTTTGTGTTTTTTTTGAAAGGAAAAATATTAATTATTTTTAATCAGACTATAGTTCAAAGAGGTAGAAATGTAAGAAGGGTGATTAAAAAGTCAAACGTATAGTAGCGATCAAACATAGAACCAACATTTCTCGTCAATCCGTGAGCCACACGGTTTGCAGACCTCTTCACACGAGAAAATGAGATGCTAGTGAAACTAGCCGATATGTCTCTAGTATCATCAGTAAGAATAGGGGTGGTAATAGGTCAGGCGGCCTGTGGCCTGGCCTGTTTAATAATCAAAGTAGGCTTGAGCTTTTTGAAAAACCTGTTTACCAAAATAGGTCAGACTTAGCCCAACTCTAAAGTCCTTTTAGCTTAACAGGCCGACCTATTTATATGTGTATATATATGTTTGTATATATATTTAGTTATATTTATATTTATTTGTATTATTTATATTTATATGAGTATAACTAACTATAGCAAATTAAGCATAATACTCCGTAGTATTTTTATGAAGTGTGTATTATATATTAGAATACTATTTCAATTATATAAAGTGTGTTAATAGGATATTAGGGTAATTGAAATTTAAAGTTTTTCAAGATTTGAAGTACATAAAAATTTATAAACTACATAACTAACATATTATTAGAGATTCAAAGCAAATCTAAAGTATTACTACATATTAGACTTTTTTATTTTTAATTTTTTTGAACTTTTGATTTTTTCATAACAGGCCCACTAAATAGGTTTCGGACCAGGCCAGACACAGACCGAACAAACAGACCTATAACAGGTAACAGGCCAGACTCAGGTCTATTAATTCTAAAACAGACCGGACTTGTTTAGGCAAGCCGCCTGACCTGTTTCCACTTCCGGGTTAATACTCCGAATAACTTCCAGCTTCTTTTAACCAACTGAGTGCCTCAGTTTTGCGTGATTTAATATCCAAAATTTGTGTAATTGAAAACATATACTAAGCCCCTTTTGCTGCCTTGCGTCAGCCGTGATTCTAGATTGACTACCTATTCTTATGTTTCATTCGTCTTTATAAAACTCATCTTCCATTATTACTTCTCCATTTGCCATTTCTTTATCACAAAAAATATTCTAACTTTTGTCTTTGTGAACTCGAATCTTTTATCTTGGCCTCTGAACAAGTGGAAAAGAACTCACAGAAATAAAACTCATTATTCTATTTACACAGTTTCAAACTATGTTGTTGCTCGTGGTCCATTGATCAAATTGGAATCTCAATTATAAAATCAATGAAAGTAAAAAGAAAAAACCGTTAGAAAGCTAGTATTGAACGCAAAGGGTATGGACAAAACCAGGCAAATCAGGAAAATTAAAGTAAAATTCTAGCAAAAGTATTAACGCATTGTCCTTTGCAATATAGGCTTCAAACTTCAAAGGATACTTATGTGCTCCAAGAGAGCAGAAAATATGGTTTGGCATGAAACAAAATGTAAGAAAGATGGGGATTCGAGACATCTTGTAGATAGTCAGCCCTGGATCAATTTGGGCTCAACCTATGGTAACTTTGCTAATGGTCCATATAATGTATGATTAGGTTTAGCCAGCGATTAACCTGCACAAGTAGTTTAATGGTGGCTAGATGAGACAGTTGAACTGAGTTCTGAGGTTCAATCTTTGAATGATCAACAATTTAATTCTTTGTGCACTAAATTCTAAATCACCTCACTCAGAAATGGTTCAAGATCATATCATGATTTACTCCTTCGCCTTTATGTCTGGCCAACAAACGCTGAAGGTGACATTTTCACCTTTTGGGATTGGGTTTAGCCAATAATGGGTTCAATCCTTTTTGCACACCAAGTGTTTTTCATAGCACATGACCAAAGGTATTTATTGAAGGTAGATTCATAGCTTCCATGAAGCTTCCTTCATGTGCAAGAATGACAAGGGGAGCTTCCTCAACCACCATTGAAGCTTCCTCATGTTCCATTGAAGCTTCCTCCTAGCTTCAACACATCTTCCTCCCACCTTCATACTACCTTGTTTTGGTACTATAAATAGAGAGTTTGGAGAGTCTTTCTATCATCAAGCAATTTAGATCATAGATTAGAATACCACAACCAAGTTTGAGTTGTGAATATCCTTGAGAGATATGTGAGGTGTTTTGAGAGTTTTTAGTTAGAGCTTGTATGTCTCTTCTTTCTATTCTTGAAAGTAATAGAAGTGTTTTTCTCTCATATTAGCACGATCCTGTTATTTCCAACAAGTGGTATCAGAGCCTGGTTGAGCTTTTGATATTTTTCCCAGATTTTTTCAGATAAAATTCTACTGTCTGAAAAATCGAGTTTTTCAGTATTGGTCGGAATTGCAATCTGAATATACCGTTGGATTCGTCTCGTCGAGACGAGAAAACTGGTATTTTTGGGGAATTTTTTGGCCACCGGAAGCTGCCGTACGCGCCGCCAAACGCCGGCCAAAAACTGCCTGTGTCATCGCTGACGTCATCAGCGCAGTCCAGAGGTAGAAGACGGCTGACATCATCGCTGATGTCATCAGCCAGTCAGAGCTGCCAGCGACACGCCAGCGCCACGTGTGCAGTCCCAGCACAGTCAGCCGCCACGTCATTAGTCAACTGCCATCTTTCACCTGCGTCCAGTCAGCTGCCACGTCATCGCCCAGTCAGCGCCACGTCACCTGCCACGTCACCGGTCAGTTTTAATTTTGAAGAAATTGCAGTTTGGTCCCTCAATTTTTGAAAAATTATAATTTTGACCTATAATTTTTTGAAAATTGTATTTTGACCCCGAAAGTGCCTACCCACCATTTTCGGCCGTTCCGGACGCAACGGTGCTGCCCGTTTTTCGAAATTCTGCTCCGATTTTTCTCAAATAGAAAATCAAAATTATATAGAAGGTGAAAATGACCTTTGACGAGTCAACTTCATCTTCCGGAGCTATGATTATGCTCACGGCTACCAACTACACGCTATGGAAACCTCGGATGGAAGATTTCCTTAGTTGTAAAGACCTTTTTGATCCAATAGAGATGAAAGGTACTAATCCTGACCCGGCCAAGTCAACAGAGTGGAAGAAAATTAATAGAAAAACTATTGGTCAAATTCGACAATGGATTGACCATAGTGTCTTCCACCATGTTGCACAAGGAACCGATGCTTATGCCCTTTGGAAGAAGTTAGAAGATATGTACCAGGCCAAGACCGCTAGGAACAAGGCCCTACTGATGAGGCGTCTTGTCAATATGAAGCTCAAAAGTGGAACTTCTGTTGCTGAACATACTAGTCAATTTCAGAGTCTGGTAAATCAACTATCTTGTGTAGAAATGCCACTTGGAGATGAAATGCAATCTCTACTACTTCTTAGTTCCCTTCCTGATAGTTGGGAGACACTAGTTGTTACTCTCAGCAACTCAGCTCCAGATGGCAAACTTACCATGTCTGTGGTCAAGGATGCACTGTTCAATGAGGAGGCAAGAAGGAAAGACATGAGCACAGATGAGACTCATGCCCTTGTGACGGAGAATAGAGGAAGATCACAAGGAAAACAACAAAGAAACTGTAGAGGGAAATGGCAAACCAGAGGGAAAAGTCGGGGGAGATCATCGGATGGCCGGAAACCTTCTTATACCTGCCACCATTGCGGTATAGAGGGTCACATGAAGAAGAATTGATACAAATTGCTAGAGGAGCGAGGCAAGAGCAATTCTCAAGCGAAAAACAAGGGTGGTGAAGCGCTCATCACAATCTCAGGTGATGTGGCATATTGTACTATCAATGATGAAGCATGCCTTCACGTCTCAAGAGAGGACACTGAATGGGTGGTAGATACTGTAGCATCCTACCACGTTACTCCCCACAGGTACTACTTCACAACTTACAAAGCTGGAGACTTTGGAGTAGTGAAGATGGGCAATTCCAGTTCCTCTGGAATAGCTGGAATTGGTGATGTACAAATAAAGACGAGTACTGGGAGCACAATCACTTTGAAGGATGTCAGACATGTTCCAGACCTTCGACTCAATCTCCTGTCAGTGGTATGTCTTGACGAACAGGGGTATGAAAACCACTTTAACAGGGGCACCTGGAAAATGTCAAAGGGCGTTTTGACAATCGCTCGAGGACATGTTTGTGGCACATTGTACAAAACCCATTTGAGGATTTGTACGGATAGCCTCAACATTGCTGAGGAGACTTCTCAGAATCTGTGGCACCTGAGACTTGGCCACATTGGTGAGAAAGGGTTGAATACCTTGATCAAGAAGAACCTTATCAACATCGACAAGAATGCTGCACTGGGTCCTTGCAGTCATTGTCTGTTTGGTAAGCATCATAGAGTATCATTTAGTTCTACTTCAGCTAAAAGATCAGAGTTGTTAAGTTTGGTACACTCCGACGTCTGTGGTCCTTTCGAGGTGGAATCAATCGGTGGAAGCAGATATTTTCTGACTTTTATCGATGATGCTTCTCGGAAAGTGTGGGTGTATTTCCTGATTACGAAGGATCAGGTGTTCGAGAGCTTCAAGACATTTCACGTCTTGGTGGAACGTGAAACAGGAAAGAAGCTGAAATGTATCCGATCTGATAATGGAGGCGAGTACACATCCAAGGCGTTCGATGCATATTGCAGAGAATATGGCATTCGACATGAGAAGTCAGTACCACGCACCCCTCAGCACAACGGCGTTGCTGAAAGAATGAACCGGACTATCATGGAGCGTGTTCGGAGCATGCTGAATATGGCTAAACTTCCGAAGTCATTCTGGGGAGAAGCAGTCAACACCGCATGCTATCTTATCAACCGATCACCTTCAGTACCACTGAACTTTGAAGTTCCAGAGAGACTATGGACAGGTAAGGATCCTACATACTCACATCTTAGAGTATTTGGTTGTTCATCATATGCACATGTATCCAAAGAGCTCAGGCAGAAGCTCGATGCAAGAACTATCCCATGCATTTTCGTTGGCTACGGAAATGAAGAGTTTGGATACAGGTTATGGGATCCTAAGGAGAAAAAGGTGTTCAGAAGTAGGGACGTTGTGTTCCACGAAGATTTGACAATAGAAGACATTGAAAAACCCACAATGTCTCGGAAGTCAAATGAGGGTGCTCAAGTTTCAAATGAAGCACCAGAAGAGGACAAAGTGCATGAAGATAACTCAGAAGCAGAAGAGGAGGAGACAGAAGAGAGTGCATGGCAAGGGGAGACACAATCCACCCCGCCAGACACAGATGATGGTAGCTCTTCTCAGATGGTTCCTACTGTTCGTAGATCTGAACGAGGGCATATACCATCGACAAGGTACACATCATCTGAATATCTTTTGTTAACTGAAGATGGAGAACCAGAATGTTTTCAAGAAGCTGTATCTCATAAGGATAAAGAAAAATGGCTAATAGCAATGCAGGATGAGTTAGAATCTCTGCAGAAAAATCAAACTTATGAGATCGTAGAACTTCATAAAGGGAAGAAGGCACTGAGGAACAAATGGGTGTTCAAGCTGAAGAAGGATGCAAACGGACAAGTGGTGAAACACAAAGCTTGGTTGGTTGTCAAAGGGTTCCAACAGAAGAAAGGAATTGACTTTGATGAGATCTTTGCACCAGTTGTCAAGATGACCTCAATCTGAGTTGTACTTGGCTTAGCAGCAAGTATGAACTTGGAGCTTGAACAGATGGATGTGAAGACAGCATTTCTTCACGAAGATTTGAAAGAAGAAATCTACATGCAGCAGCCGGAAGGTTTTGAGAACTCAAATGATAACTTTGTGTGTAAGTTATCTAAAAGTTTGTATGGCTTGAAGCAGGCACCAAGGCAGTGGAATAAGAAGTTTGACTCATGCATGAAGAGTCAAGGCTACAAGAAGACTACTGCGGATGAGTGTGTATACATCAAGAAACTTCCAGACGGTACCTTCATTGCTCTTCTACTATATGTAGACGACATGTTGATCGTTGGGAAAGATGCAGTGAAGATAAACCAGCTGAAGAAAGAACTCTCTAAGTCTTTTGATATGAAAGACTTGGGATCGGCTCAACAGATTCTTGGGATGCAGATCACTCGAGACAGGAAGAATCACAAGTTATGGCTATCTCAGGAGAAGTACATTGAACGAGTACTTGAGAGATTCAACATGAATGATGCCAAACCAGTAAGTGTTCCACTTGCGAATCACTTCAAGTTGAGCAAAAGAACATGCCCTACATCCAAGGAAGAGATCAGGGAGATGTCAGCAGTTCCATATTCTTCAGCAGTTGGGAGTTTGATGTATGCCATGGTATGCACAAGGCCAGACATCGCACAGGCAGTGGGTACAGTGAGTCGTTTTCTCTCTAACCCCGGGAAGGAGCATTGGGAGGCAGTCAAATGGATTCTCAGGTACTTGAAAGGTACCATGAAGTTATGTCTTTGTTACGGAGGAGTTGACCCAGTCTTGGAAGGCTACACAGATGCTGATATGGCCGGCGACACTGATAGTAGAAAGTCTACTTCCGGATATATCTACACTTTTGCAGGGGGAGCCGTTTCTTGGCAATCAAGATTGCAGAAGTGTGTTGCTTTATCTACAACAGAAGCAGAATACATTGCTGCCGCTGAAGCAGGTAAGGAAATGTTGTGGCTAAAGCGTTTTCTCCAAGAACTTGGGATCCAGCAGAAAGAGTACAAAGTACATTGTGACAGTCAGAGTGCTCTAGACTTGAGCAAGAACTCTATGTACCATTCTCGTACAAAGCCTATTGACATTCGGTATCACTGGATACGAGAGACGATTGATCAACAACTGTTGAGACTAGTGAAGATCAATACAAAGGAGAATCCATCAGACATGCTGACGAAGGTGGTGACACGGGATAAGCTAGAGCTGTGCAGAGACATAGTCGGGATGCTTGTTTTGAATATGCCTGGAAGGGGAGAATTGAAGAATTCAATTTCCAGGTCATATCCAAGTACAAGCAAATTGAAGAATCCAATTCATAGCTTCCATGAAGCTTCCTCCATGTGCAAGAATGACAAGGGGAGCTTCCTCAACCACCATTGAAGCTTCCTCATGTTCCATTGAAGCTTCCTCCTAGCTTCAACACATCTTCCTCCCACCTTCATACTACCTTGTTTTGGTACTATAAATAGAGAGCTTGGAGAGTTTTTCTATCATCAATTCAAGCAATTTAGATCATAGATTAGAATACCACAACCAAGTTTGAGTTGTGAATATCCTTGAGAGATATGTGAGGTGTTTTGAGAGTTTTTAGTTAGAGCTTGTATGTCTCTTCTTTCTATTCTTGAAAGTAATAGAAGTATTTTTCTCTCATATTAGCATGATCCTGTTATTCCCAACATCAATGAGAATGTAACAGTTGATTTATTTAAGTCTAAATTAAAAATGATTAAGTGATGTGGTCCAATCAAATGAATGGTAGGTACGGTACCCCATATTTTAGAAAGGTACTGGAGTTGTCACCATTTATTAACTACGATTCATTACTAATATCATAGCCTAGTTATCTGGGAATGGATACTAATACCATTTCTTCTCTAACTGAAGATAGAATTGAAGGTTGGAGAAATACTTTAACAAATAATGGATATTGAGATTAATTAAGTTGCTGTTAGGAACAAAGTGATGAAATCAAATGTATTATTTTTTGTACCTTGCTAATGATTTTTTGTGCATGTATTAATACAGCTCTTTTGAGAATAAGGTTTGAATGTTATTGTTGTATTAATACAATGAGCTGAGCATCTTCTAATTCTTCTTCATATGTTATACTCGCTTCATACCTTCAATTTAATAATGACTTCCAAGAATTTCATGTCGGGTTTTTAGCTATATTATTCCACTTAAACTCGAATATACTTCAACTGCCGACATATATATCAATATGTGTGTGTGTTGTGCACCCATGGGCCATGGCAGTAAAAAACATTACTGTAAAATAGAATCTCCGTTTATTTTACATTTGTGTGTATGAAAGATTTACTTTTTCACACCTATAGAAACCCAAATAAAAAACGTGTGCCTCTAACCCTATTAAGTAGGAATTAGAAACTGTAATTACTACTGTTGCGTTGGCATTATTTAAGATTCCAACAGCATATAACATCCTCCTTATCACATTAAGTATGGTATCTTATGCCACCCATTTATTAGGTTGCCAATGGACAAAGATCAAGATACTATTTTTATTGCCCAACATTTAATAATTATATATACTCTCCACTTTATTACTTATTAGTCTTTCAGTTAATATTTTGTCTTTTATTGCCCAACATTTAATAACTATATATACTGTCCACTTTATTACTTATTAGTCTTTCAGTTAATATTTTGTTTCCAAATAGCCTGTTCACAAACAAAATGTGTTCAAAAACATGTTTTCGATGTGAACAGACTATTCACACACACAAAATCAATAATTCTTGGTGAACACAAAATTTGTACACACTTGACACACATTTGTACATACGTAATTGTGTACATACAGACAATTTCTACACGAGCTGTCCATGTACATAGACAACTACATGGTCTACATATTATTTGTGTGTACATACTACACTTATGTACAAATGCATACCCAAGTATGTACAGATTTCATGTACACATAGATTTTTCGTAAAAAGTAGCTGTTTACGGACATGTGTGTTGGTAGGTACAAAAAGTGTTTACAACAAGGATGCCTGATTTTGTATCTTCTAACAAGCGAGTCATTGTGTCAAACACCTATTGCACTTCTTAAAAGTCAAAACTCCTAAAAATGTTTTTAGATACAAAAAGTTTTTAGATTTTTTTTTTTGCATTTTTTACCATAATACTTTAAAATAAATTATAATTTGAGGTGAGCCATTGAACATATTTTACCTATGAAGAGACTATTGAGACACAAATTGTAAACCATAGAACATACTTCGTATGTGATAATTTTGTGTAAAATTTATCTAATTTGTGTGCGCCATTTTCCCTCATGGTCTCCAAAATACAGAATTTTCTAGGAACAAAATTTGAATTTTGCTACTACAAAAGTACAAATAATAAAGAATTCTTCGTCCTAATATGCATCAGCATCTATTACTCTCTGCCTACGTGAAAAATTGAAGTCCACAAAAAAAGATTTTCTTTTTGTAAGGCGCGTTTCGATGCCACACGACATTTTTAGTTTTTATTTTACCCGCTGGGATAAAGCCGCCGCTGTATGTTTTACTATTACCGTTTTACAGCGCAGTAAAATATTTCTGTATTTATACCGGAAGCGCGATATTTCCCCCTATTAGAAAGTCAGATTGCTTCTCGCAACAGAAAAGTTACAAAAACAGAAGAGGTAAAACAAAACCCTAATCTCTCAAACTCGTAAGATTCTCACGCCATATCTTCAGGATCAGATTGCCTTCCACGATAATTCGAGAAGGGAGCTTCCCGTTTTTCTTCCCCAGATGATAGTTAAGAGGAGTTCGGCGGCGGATATGGTCGCCGAAGCAGAGATTTTGTGCCAGCAGAGCGTTTCGGTTCAGTACATCCGCGTCTCCAAGCCCGTTGGTAATGAATTGGAGTTGTTCGACGTCGAGACGCCGGATATTTCCACGCCTCCCATCGAGGTGGAGTCCTTGTCCATCGAAATCTCTCGTTCTGAGTCGGTGAGTTATTATTTCCCTATCTGAGTTCGTCCTTACTTCCTGATTAGTTTGATTTTTGTTTGGAATTGGGGGTTTGTTTTCAAATTTTGGGGTTGTTCGCGATTCTGTGGAATACCCATATCAAACAGTTTGTGTTTTGGTTCAATCTCGAGATTGGATCTGAAAACAGATTCTGCTTGGGAAAATTAGGGTTATCTGTTTAAAATTATGTAAATCATCATAATAGACGATTGATCAATTAATCAATAGTTTCTATTTTACTGGGTATGGCTTGTGTTCTGGGATCTCTGCTATCTTTATTCTACTATATGTGATCAGATTTATAGCTACTGTTTTTTGAGATAAATCCATTCACGGGTAAAATTGAAGTTGTTCCTTAATGATTAATTAATACACCTGGGGAAGTGATCTGATTAAAGTTTGTTTGAAACTCGACAGTTATTAATTGATGAACCCAAAGTTTCAAAGTTTCTTATTGCTTTGATATGTGTTGTGTAATCGGATTTCTTGCTGAGATGACCATTAAATATTAGATCTATGGAGATGGGATTGTTGGTTGGTGTGTAAAAGCTGACCTTTGTTGTGGTCTTTTGTTTTTTAGGCTGTGAAGTGCTCAACTAGCATTCAAACTGCTTTAAAGCACGCATCGAGAAAGGCCAATTATCTTCCATGCATTCGTTCTGGTAGCCACACTGACATTGGAGCACGAAGATCAAATGAGGACGAACATGTCAGGATTGATGATCTATCTGCCCACTTGGGTCCTTTATATAGATGGCCACTACCAAGTTCATTCTATGCCGTTTTCGATGGTCACGGCGGATCTGCGGCATCCTCATATGTTAAAAATAATGCTCTGAGATTCTTCTTTGAAAATGCCGATCTGCCACAAACATCTGAAATCGATGAAGCGTTCTTGGGAGAATTGGAGCGTTCTCATCAGAGAGCCTTCTTGCTGGCTGACCAAGCCCTGGCGGATGAACGCACAGTCGATGATTCATGTGGTACTACAGCATTAACTGCTCTGGTAATTGGTAATTATCTTCTGGTTGCAAATGCTGGCGATTGCCGTGCTGTTCTTTGTAGAAAAGGAGATGCCGTCCAGGTTTCTCATGATCACAGACCTTCTTGTCAAATTGAAAGGAAAAGAGTCGAGGATTTGGGCGGTCTTATTGAGTACGGATACCTAAATGGTGAAATATCGGTCACACGTGCCCTTGGAGACTGGTATATGAAGCTTCCCTATGGGCCCAGCTCCTCCCCTCTTACGGCAGAGCCAGAAATGCACCAAGTTTTATTGACTGAGGATGATGAGTTTCTGATCATTGCTTGTGATGGCATTTGGGATGTGATGTCAAACCAGGATGCGGTTAGCATTGTTCGTCAAGAGCTAATGATGCACAATGACCCAGAGGAATGCGCAAAGGAGCTTGTGAATCAGGCTTTGTTGAGGGAGGAAAATGATAACCTTACTGCCATTGTCATCTGCTTTACAGCACCTCCAGTTCCTTCTCGCCGCCCGAAACTGAGGTGCCTCACATTGTCGGAGGATGCACGGAATAGGCTCCGAAGCTTGTTACAAGGCAACTAATAGCATCACTCTTTTTGATTTTTCATCTGTTTGAGGTTGCTTCAGATAAATTGAGAAAAAGCAACAAAGTTTTGTAGGGGTAGAGAGGATGATGCAGGACAGTGAGGGTAGTTTGGTGTTTTAGGTAACATATATTGATGCATTGTGTCATGGCGACATTGTTTTTTAGGTAGTAAAAGCCTTGATTGGTTAATCAAAATCTGGAATTGATTATTAGTGCTTTGACAATTCAATAACATGTACTGTTTATTGTATTCCGGATATTCTTGAATTTGATCCCATTAATCCCATTATTGAGCTCCATGGAATCCTTTTGAGTTAATTTATGATGCTATTGTTTATGCGTTTGGTCTTGTCAGCATTGAGTTGCACCATTAAATTTGCTGTCTTTATTCTGCTGATAAGAACAGTCCAACCTCCAGCTCTAGGGAAAAGGTGGCTGGGCGAGAATTGGATAGTTGTGGGCCCTTTCTTGCTCTCCCTTTAGCACGGATCCTTCTATGTTGGACCTCACATCAGGGAAGGTGAGGATGATGCAATAGCACAAACATTCAGATGCACCTGGTCTTCAAAAGTTGTTCAAATTAGTAATCTTTGAAGTAATTTTTTTTTGTTCTCAAAATTATTTTCCTGATTCTTAAAGAAAGAAAGAAGTACAAGTTTCGATCATTTAACTTATCTTTCTTCAAATTTGAATTTACAAATTTCCTTTTCCACAACTATTTCACTAACCTGGGTTAAGACTAAAGAACAGTAATGATGTAAACGTTTTCAGTAATTGGATTAGTGGCCGGTGCAGTAAGATTACAGATTAAACAGACTTAACTGGTTATGAGGATATGAGATGGCCACATGAAATACATGTTCATTGCATTACTGGTGAACTTTTCTATGCTTTTGGATTGTGATACGTGTTATGTGATTGACGTTTGTTAAGTGCAGTTAGCTTTTATGGTTGGTAGAGACGATTTTATTAAGAGAAAGAAACGTGTGAGAAAAACTTAAGGTGGGAAAGAAATGAGATGAATTGGGAAAAGTACACGAGTCCCACTAATTACTCTTTCTTCCCGTGTATGCTCACAAAGCGTGAAGAATCTTTTCTTCACATATGCCTTTCAGTACACAAATTTGTTCTCTTAAATCAACGATGGATAAGTAGAATACATATACCCTACGTGACTCCTTCCTAAAACAAAAGTTACTAAAATGAAAGATACAAAAGTTTTAAACACATAAATTAACAGATAAGTCGTAAGAGTATACTACGTATAACTTATATTTATTCAAACGTTTGCGGCAAAGCTAGGTATTTCAGCCAAGATTGGAATAAGCGTTGATTTTCATCAAATGAAATAGAACAAGATTGGAATAAGCGTTGATTATGGGAGTCTTTGTTTAGTAGCTTGTCAATCATTTTGCCTTTTGACCAGATCAATTAATTATTAAGAGTGTTTGGTTAATTGACTTTTTCACTTGTCTTTTGTCCCAATCAGCCAAAATGAAAAACACCAATAAATGCAGCGTTCAGGTGTTGGCTGTTTAAGAATCTACCAGATATTCCTAATTTGCCCATACGGGATATTCCTAATTTGCCCAAGCTGCCTTCTCCTTTTGTTAAAAAACATGTTGCTAGGTTTGTGGGAAGAGTTATGCTAGAGGTACATATACTCTTACAAAAAGTATTACAAAAGAGGTATGTGGCAGCATCACATTACTTAACACATCACATCGCTTTTGCATCAAATATAATTACAATAGTCACATTACTTGTTTGTAATTTTTTTGTAAGTTTGTTTGTACTTGTAGCATTTTCTTTGTGAGAATGACTCACAAGTCACAACTATACTAGCTTTGGTGCTGTTGAAGTTAATACTATATGTATAATCAGAGATAGTTGTTTTAAGTTTGTTTGAAGGTTAACAACTCAATATCCATACATCCAATATAATTCCTTTCTTCATCTTTCTTTTAAATCACTCTTTTCCATTCCTACGATGGTCAATGTTTCGATTGTTGATAGCTAGAAACTTTCCAGTTTTCAGTTGCTGATAACTGGAAAACTTTCCAGTTTCCACACTACCATTCCCTCGCTGCATTCCACAGAGAACACCTCGCCCTCTTCTTCCTTTACTATCAGGAGCCCTTTGTACTATTCCTCCATTCACTCCATAGTCCTCTTCTCAATCATGTGTTTGTTTCCGGCGGAAAAGAAAAAAAAACACCACACAACGATATTAGTGGAGAGAAAAACCCTAACAGTCCTTAGGTCCTGACTTTCCTTATTAGTATATCATACACCTTAATAAAATGAAAGTGTATTAATAATTTGGATGAAATAAGAACATGATTTAAGAAGGGAAATGAGAATGAATTTGATGCATTAGATTGGACAATTATGCATTATTTGGTACCAAAATTTGCATTGCAATTAGTATGAAGTCGCGATGATATTTTTGTAAATAGATTAAACATTTTCTATTAACATGAGGTGTGAATTATCTTATCATGAAATGTGCAACACCATACTTTAGAATGTAAATCTTTTGAATCATTCTCATTTATGATCAACCATTCGCATACAAGAACTAGACCCATACACAAATAAAAAAATCGAAAAATCAATTTGTAGCATTGCAGAACCAATAAGAGGCCACAATTTGAGAGCCCAATTCTAATCTATTATGTGTAAAAGCAACTCTGCCATAAGGTCGAGCACTTGGACACGACTAATCAAATACCTTGATGCATAGAATCTAATTGTTTTTAGATTAGAGTACACATCATTTATTAGTTTTACTAGTAATACAATGCGCGTTTCGCGATATACAAGTGCCCAATATTATTTTATTAGTGACAACATTAGAAAATGGTGGTGTTATTTTGTTCAAGTGATTAATTACTACTATGTATGATGCAATAAAAATAAATAGTTTGTTATGGTCAGATGCTTTTTAAGAAGATCCTTTTATGTACAAAATTGAAGTAAAGTGCAGACTTTCATAAATGTTTTCAATTAACTTATGCTTTGTTTTAAATGGTGTATGAATTAGTTACAATAAGAAATCTAAATATCATACTTCTTATTTTTTTATTATAGGTAAAAGTTTTCAAACATAAGAACTATTAAATGTAAAAATGAAATGCATTCAATTAATTTGCTCGCACATTGGATATCATCCTTAGCTAAAAGAGGTTCTCATGTTAATAATCACACCATTAAAGAGAAAGAAGTAAATCTAGCATTCCAATCAATGATACAAAATGTTTTTTCATGACACATTTTCTTAAAACAAAGATGGGAATTCAAGATTAAGCCTCTCTGAACAAACTAACCATTTTCTTGTCCAAGAATGAGACTATACAATCCCCCTCAAACCATATAGATTGAGGAAGTACTTGAAAGTAAAAGAAAGTCATTATAAACATTCTAAAGAGTAGCAAATGAAACATGATGAATGTAATAGTCAGGAAAAAGAGTGCATTATCATAAATGACTGCTAACTCATGGCACCTAAATTTGAACTGCTTCCATTTCGTAACACGACCTAGACCTTTGAGTGAATGAAAAAGGAACCATTGGAGGAATCAATGCACACATTTATATATGAATATTTATTAGATAATGATGGATTAATACAACCGAGTATGATAAATGAGGTCAAAGTATAAGTTTATCATAAATGATCACACATGGCAATAGATAAAAACAATGTAAGAGAATGCACAAAACTACTCCCTCCGTCCCATATATTACCACATATTTTAAAGATCGCAAAGTTAAAACTTTTTCAAACCACATATAACGACATATTCCACTGACGTGCACTTTGTCGTGGTGTGCACTCAAAATAATATTACAATACAACACTTATACATAGTATAGCGTAGTAAGGTTCGTATCCACAGGGAAAGGAACACTTCTCTTTTTAAAGAAATAAATAAGTAACAAGGGGGGGTTTTAATGTTTGGTTGATGAACTAAAATTATATGTAAACACAAAGATGAACGACTTATGTGGTTTAATTAATGAGAAGCAGACTTGGCTTTGCTTTTATCCACTTAATGAAATGTTCGTCGATCCCGGTTATATCTTTAACTATCTTCCTCTCGAATACTCAATCGAGGAGTATATCCAATTCATCGAGGGTAGTTATTAATAACGAGACACGTTCATTAATAAAACTTACTACCGAGTTAATAT